AAGTTGCCTTGTTTTGAAATCTGAAATACATGTTACTTAGATCAATTTCTAAAACTAGACAGGACCTTAAATACCATCGATGGCCTAGCTTTTTTTCAAATAAATAAATGAAGAAACTATAAATAGACAGGTACTATATTCCTTTTGAAAAAATACTATCAGAGCTAATTTAATTCAATGAGCATTATTAAACACCAATACATGCAAACTGCTATGCTAGACACCTGAGATACAAAGCCAAAAGCCAAAAAACTATGCCTTCAAGGAACTGATAATCTACTAGGGTAAAATAACACAAACAGATAAGTAAATATGTGCAAAGTAATAATGGAGTGGAGTTAAATGAAGAGCACTAGTATTTGGAGGGAAGGAAGAGAAAGAATCAGGAAAGGCATTTGCTAAGTCAGCACTGAAGGGAGCAAGGGAGCTAAAAGGGATGGGGAGAGCATTTAAAGCATAGGGGCCTTCTGGTACAAAAGGAAAGAGTACAAGCTGGACTACTTTGTAAAACAGCAGATTGGCCAGCCTGGCCCATAAGGTATGGAACGATGAGGAATATGAAAGAAATCCAGAAAGACACACTATTAATATACTATGAAGGGTTTTTAAGGCCAAACAGAAGTGTTAATATTTTTTATTAGAGCAATTTAGTAGCCACTAAAGCTTTCTGAGCAGAGGAATGATGTGGTCAGACCTATGCTATAGGAATATGTAGTAAGGGAATTAGAGAGTGGAGAATTCAGGCAGTAAGCTCAATCAGTTTATTGCTGTAGTCCAATGGAGGTGAGACATGCCTGAGGAGTGTTTTGAGTACAGAAAAGGGGGTCAGATGTGAGAAAAAGCTGTGTTAGTAAACTCAAAAAGATTCAGCAACTGACTATGTAGAAAGTGAGGGCAAGTTAAGATTTGAGATTCCAAAGGTTATGACCACAAGTTTTATGGAAGATAGGTTTAGATTAGTCAGGTTTAGTGAATTCTCTAGTTCAAGTACTCTTTCTAATACATCATGTGCATCCTAACAAACTGCTTTTATTAAAGTGACTCTAATTTTTGTGATTCTTAAAACTTTTTATTATGAGTCTAATTGATCCTACAAACAGATGGCAGTGACATCTTCTTAAAAGACAGCTTTCAGAATATTATTCCCCCTGCTCAAAAATTTCTAACAAGTCTCCACAGCTCATAGAATAAAGTCTTAATATGGTTTTCAGGGTTCTCCACAATTTAGTTAAACCTACCTTTACAAAATTTTCATCTTTTACTCCCTTATGCTACACTTAAAAGCTGGTCTAATTATCATTTCCTAAAACTTTCCTCTGCTCATTTGTTCCCTCTACCTGGAATGAAGGCAGGCAGGAAGGAAAAAGCATGACCTGCCCCTGCATTTCCACTAGTAAAGAGCCTATCCATTCTCTAAGTCTATCTCCTATGTCACTTGCTTCATAAAGACTTTCTGATCGACCCAGCCAGAAATTTCTCCTCCCTATATATTCCTGTTGAACTCTTTATCTTTTATAGCACCTATATTTTTCTATATTGCAACATAATTGTAATTGTATACAATTATTTCATTGTGTAATGGTATATAATAATTTTTCTTTGTTCTTAGCCATGTGCTGGTCAACTTGGTCTTTAATAGTTCAATGTCAGCTTGGAAGGAGTTCTACAATGATTTGCCGCAGGGAACCTTGCTGTTGACCCCTCGGCTGTTGCTCATTTACATGTGACTTCGTTAAAGGCAAGAAATATGTTTACCAAATTTGCAAGTAGTACAAAGCTGGAAGGGATACACAATATATTAAGTAATAGTCATGATTCAAAAAGATCCTGACTGGCTAGATACAGGGCCAAACTGAATAAGATGAAAGCTAACAGAAACATGATAATGTACTTGGGTTAAAAAAAAATCAACTTTAGAAATACAAGATGGGGAAGGCAGTTGGATGACAGTTCATTTTAAAAAGACCTAGGGATTTCTGTGGACTACAAAGCTCATCAATCAACAGTGTGACAAAGCAATTTTAAAAACCAGTCATAACTAGGAAGGTGACAGTGCCTTGGTCAGATCAGACATGGAATACTATGTTCTATTAAACACATCACATTTTACAAGGGCATTGATAAGCTAGAGAAAACCCAGAAAAGGTTAACTAATACAATGAAGACTCTAGATATAATGCTTGATAAGAATCTGCTTTTAAAACTGGAGTTACTTAGTTTTGAGAAGACTAGGGAAAGAAGACCATCATCCTCAAGTATTTGAAAATCTATTAGACAGGACTAGACTTACTCTGCTTGGTCCTAGAGGGAAGAATTAGGAGCAATTTGTGGAAGTTGCAAATAGACAGATTTAAGACTGATTTAAGGAAAACCTTTCTAACAACCAGAAATGTTTAAAATTCACTTGTTCCCTGTCACTGGAAGCAAAGGATGTGTGACAACCTGTTGAGTCAAAGTGTAGAAAGGTTTCTTGTTCAGGTAGGAGTTAGATGGCAGCTTTTGTAATCATGGGATTTAGAGTCTGAAGGAATATAATACATTATATGATCACAGATTTAAAGTTGGAAAGGGACTTCAGAGGCTAATGCAACTTCCTCCTCACTTGAAAAAAGAGGAAACAGAATCAGAAAGGTAAAGTGACTTTTCAAAGGTCATCTATACATTAAGCAACAGACCCAGGATTTGAATTGAGGCCTTCTGACTCAAAAACGCAATGCAACTACAGGGACTCTGAATGTTTCCTTCCCCGTTCTGTGAAGGATGCTGGTGGGGTCTGAGGATGAAAGATACTTCCAGGGCAACAGTATATAGCTAAGTCTCTGGGAAATGAGGCTCATGGATTGGATAGCAAAAGCACTAGAATGCACTATCTTCTCTATGCTTGTAGTGTCCATTACCAATCTTATTCATCCTTATTCCATGTGGTCGAAACACAGAGTAGATGCTCAATAAATGTTCAGTGAATTGAAGGCTTGTCCAAGAGTGGTCCCTGTTTAAAGCCAGCAGGAAAAACTTCTACCAGACACCCCAAAGGGTCATAAAATCATAGATTTATATCTAGAAGGAACCTCTGAAATTCAGTCTAAACCCCTCATTCTATAAATAACTACTGTGAAGCCCAGAGAAGATTAGCTACTTGTCCAAGGACTCACTTCACTGATACTAACTGGTAGAGCTAGAATTTGAATCCAGGTCCTCTGACTCTGGATATAGTACTCTTTCCAAAGTAATACAAATCTTTTCCTTTCCACATTATAAATTCTCTAAAAGCAGAATTCTGACACTTGCTTACCCTGAAAGGTCACTAAGTTTACACCCGATTTTGTCTTCTCCTGGAAGTGCCACCTGAAGTGCTCTGTTGCCAGAAGATAATTGCTGAGGGCCAGGAAGTTGATTACTGGGTACAGGGACAGTGGTAATGCTAAAAAAGGCCTTTCCCATGGTGGTGGCAGGGGTGAGAATGACTTTTAAAAAATTATCTAGTGCCCAGTTCCCTTTTTCAAAAAACTGAAGAAGAGATCATACCAAGGCAAATGTTATTCAACAGACTATTAAGCAAAACCTAATCCTGGGAACTCAAATCTAATGCATTTGTGAGTTTATCATTTTAAAACAAAGCCTTAGTAGTCTATAGAATAAACACATTTTTCATGAGATTTAAGAAATTTCAGATTTTTTTGAAGGATTCATAACTCATAGATGCTATGAATCTGGGAACTAAAATCTAATGCATTTGCGATTTTATCATGTTAAAACAAAACCTTAGTAATCTATAGAATAAACATGTTTTTCAGGAGATTTAAGAAATTTCAGATTTATTGAATTCATTACTCATAAATGCCAACTCAAAGAATGAAGAAAATGACTAGCTAGTTTAGGCTGATAATCCATGAAGATTATAGATTTGGAGCTGCAAAGGCCCTCAAAAAGGTTATCCAGTTTAGCCTGTTCTACAGAAGAGAAAACTAATGCCCAGAGAGTTGGAAATGACTTCCTAAAGTCAAGAGGCAATGACTGGCAGATTGGTATTCGAACCCGGGTCCACAGACTCCAAATCACAACCCTTTCTACCGTGTTACATGGCAATGACTATATAACAATGCAGACATTTGATTTGAAGATATTAAAACGGCAAGCCCTTAAGTATGGCTTAGATTTTGGAATGCCTCACATCAATAATTTAGTGGCAGAGAAATATTATTGAACATTTCAATAAAATGTTCAGTTTCTTGGAGGCAGAGTTTTGGTTATCTTTGTGTCCCAGCTGCCTTACAGTTAAATGCTTAATGTTTTTTTGTTGAGCTGACCACATGATTTTTCTAACGTCACACTTCTTAATATATCACTATATTCTGACTGGAACTTGAGTTCAATAATTTGGGATTTATTAAACCTCTATCAAGCACAGAGTGTGCTAGATGATTAAGGAGATATGAAGTTTAGATAAAACACTTGGCACAGTGCCTTTATTGATCTATACACGATAAATGTATGTAGAATTTGCTGCTGAATGAGAAAGGGCTTTTTAGTGTTACAAGGATCTGTGCTGACTGTTTTGTACATTTTTATTTGTAGGGTGAGGGGTAAATATGAAATAAAATATTTATGGAACAGTAGGTTTGGATTTAGGTTCAACCTACATTCAGAGATTTCCTCTGTGCATAGTTAAATGGCCAACATCTGAACTGAGTTAAACTGCACATGGCAATGAAGACTAAACTGCAGAAGAGTTGTTGATAATCACCAACTGAGGGAGTTTCCTTTCACGAAATCCCTAAGTCAATGAAATTGTATCTGGACCAAAAACAAAACACCCCAAACCAACTTAAAGTTTTATTTCAAATTTTGTTAAATGACTCAGGGGGAAAAAAAATCACACAGAACTCTATCAAGAATCTATGCTCAAGTCTGCATTCATGGCCTGTTCGAAGACAAACTGCAATTAGAAAACAAGAATGGTAAGAAATACTACTAGTTTAAAACAGCCTGTGTAACATTACCTGCAAACCACAGCAGCCGACAGCACTCAAGATGGAAGCATTATGAACAATTCGGTATGGGATCCCCATCTTTACTGCTCTTAGAACAAGATCACTGTGTGTTGTGGCCCTGTGGGAAGAAAAGAATGAGTTAGATTGAAGCAATAGCCAAGTCAGAGTAATAAAGACTATGATATGTTTAAAAAATAAAATTACACTGCACCATGAGAAATGCTATCAAATAGGTCAACTCAGCAGCAACCTTCTCCAATCTGTTAAGTACATAGCAGAAGACCTTTATTATTGCTCTACAAGGAATGAAAATGAGCAGACACATGCACTTCACCAACCCACCTGCTTTCTCACAAAGTTAAAACTGAAATACCAGCATGTTTATTGCTATTTAAAGCAAATTTGGCAGCTATTTAAAAGAGGAAAGTTCCACTAGTCCTTTGTTCTGCAAACACTTGCTAAAAGACATGAGTTGAACAGCAAAAATTAGCTTCTAAACACAGCAGCACAACTTCAATGTTCTCAATTAAAGGATGATGATTCTTCCTTCACTTCTGGGGCAATCTCCCAAAATACAAGAAATATACAGAGAACATTCTTATAGATTGTAGTCTTTATGAAATGTAAGATTTATACACTCAAATTTAATATTTGAAAATCTTCCAGTCATTGTTTAACTATAACTAGCCTTCACTGAAATATTTCAAAAAGTGCTACTATGTCCTGCCTGTCACCTCTCTTTTCTATTTCTCTTCTTAGCTAGATCTATAGTTACAACCAAAGAAAAAAAATGAAGGTGATACGTGTGTGCTACAATTATTGGGACTGTGAAAAGAAAAAAATCAACTTAGAATTGCATTTATGGAACAAGCCTTTTATTTTTCAACAGATGAGAACTCTAGGACCTACTGAGGAAAGCAACATTAGCATGTACAAGCAACCACACACAAATAAGCAGAATCTGTCAACTGGTCAATGCATACTAAGCAGCAAGATTAAGAGCTTTCACCCCATGAGGCAGGTGGAGACAGACGAACAGATACTCATTAGGGAAGCCTGCTTAATCACATACATAAAACAAAAAGTAATCTGAAAAAGCAACCAGCAAGTAACTTGCTTTGCCCTAAGTTTTGAAATTACACACAAGCTTCTTGTAAGGAATTATTTCAGCATGAACTTCAGCAGAACCTCATTATCTCATAGTGTGAAGTAGAACAAACAGCTCATAATGTAGATTTTTAAAGCAGCCAGCTGATAAAATAAAAATGCAGCAAAACTGGCTTAAAAATAATTCTCTAAGTCTTTACCCAAGGTTACGTAAAACAATCAGCTGGCGCTAGCTACTGCATGGGCACTGAACAACAAAGAATTAATAATGACTTGTTAATGCATTAAGTTATTATCTAAAGAAACTATTAAAAATGTGAGGAAAAAATTGAAAATTTCCTGCTATTGATAATTGAGAATTCTGTTGAATTTGTTAGATTTTGAGATAATTAGGGATAATTTTGAGATTATCAGGCCAAATGCTCTATTTTTAAAAAAAAGATGTAAATACATGGGTTTAAGTCATTTGATTGTTGTTAGCTGTCTAACACTTCATAGGCCTAAGGAGACTGTTTCAATATGGCAGGTAAGTAGAATGAAGAGTCTGCCTATTGTCTACAATAGAGAAATAAGGGCCTCCATGGCAAAGTCAGACATGGGAAGATGGGTCAAAAGTGGTTGCCAAATATAACATTCTGACAACATAACCAAAAATATTCAGTTAAGGGGAAAAAAATGTGGAAGTATCTAAAGATACCGAAAGCTACATAGGGATATTATTACTCTGATGTGCCAGCAAGAGGAGTTCAAATTTAAAAGGGCCACACTAAAAATGAAAGTTTGTTTACACATATACACATATATATATATACATATATACCCACACTCACATATACACATATATAATATATACAGTAAAGTTATATACATACATAAAGTTGATACAAAAGAGTACTATGGATTAGCTATGAATACTGCCCCAAAGCCTAAAGATATGATGAGTTTGGACAAAGCACTACAGACAATTAAAAAAAGAAAACCTTTTTAAAAGGAGCAAGAAGAACAAGGAAGAGACAGGCCCACTACTTGGGATAACAGAGAAAAAAATCAGAGACATTCAGCCCTATTTCACTTTTATAATTTTACTTAGCTGTCTGGTAGGCCGACTTTGTGGAAAGATAAAACTTGTGTTGATTGGTCCAGAGGGTAGAAGTTGCAGAAAGGCAAATTAAGGAATTTATTCTAACAATCAGAGATAGCCTGAGAGTCAGGTCTTCAAGAAGAGTCTAGGTGACTAATTTTCAGACACTTAGTTCAGTTGTGGATGAATTCAAGTGCGTATCTTGAGTTCTTTTACAACTGAGATTCTGTGATTCTGAAATTCTACTTAAAAGTTGGAGCTTCCAGGAATATGCAAGTGACAGTTCCTTTTTCCCCTGCTCTGATGAAACCATTCGTGCAGCACTGTGCATGGTTTTGTAGGTGCCAGAGTTTAGGAGGAGACTGTTAATCTGCAAGGTATCCAGAGGATGAATACAACTACCAGGAAGGTGAAGGGTTTGACTCCAAGAGATCTAAGGGGTTGGTTGAAGTAGCTGGGGATTTTTACTCTACAGAAGAGAAGCTGATAGCTATCTTCAATTATTTTTAAAAGGCTATCATGTGGAAAACTATGTATTAGACTTGGTCTGTTTGGCTCCTAAAGGGAAGAGCCATGAGTAATGGAATTTGCAAAAAGGCAAATTTTGATTTGATAATATCAGGGAAAACTACCTAACAATTAAAGCCATTATGAAAGATTGCTCTAAATCACTAAGCCAAAAATTCAAATCCAAACAGTTGAGATTTCATTCCGGGTGTAGTGAATTGACAAAATTTACAGAAGATGGAAATAGTTAACGTTGAAGGAGCTATGGACATATGGGCATACTAATACACTGCTGAAGAAATTGTGAACTGGTCCACAACCACAACAAATGAATGCTTAATTATAATGACCAAGGAGGGACCTGGAGAAAAGACAGAAAATGCACTTCACTCTTATTTTTACAGATGGATGACCACAGGTGTGAAAAATTGCACTGGTGACTACTGATGGAGTGATTAGTTGTACTGAACTTTTTTTTTTCCCCTTCCCTTTTAATTCTTTGTTAGAATAAAGCTGGATAGTGAAGGGGAGGGGGCAGAGAAACATATTGGTAAATGGTGATTTAACAAAAGATAACAAAATGTTTCTTATAACATTCAGAGCTGCCCAAAAGTTTAGTGGGATGCTTTAGGAAGTAGTGGCTTCTCCAATTGGGTGTCTTCAAGCAGAGACTGGATGACTACTTGTTGGGTGTGTTATAATGGAAGTGGGAGAGATTCCTTTTGGGTAGGGGTTTGACTAAATGGCCAACTGAATTCCCTTCCAACTTTCAAATTCTGTAATTCCAGCTTTGAGCTTTAAAGTTATCAATCAGAAAAAAACACACACACAAAAAAAAAGACTGATGCACTTCAGCATTCTATTCTCCAATTTTCTCACCTATAAAATGAAGCAACTGAGCAAGGCAATATCCAAGACCTCTTCCAGCACAAGTGGTATGAATCCACATATAGCATATATACAGGTAGAAAGAAATTTCTGTCACAAATCTGGAGCTAATAATAATCTGGTCAGAAGCAAAGAATGAAGTAGTACCAATATTTCATCATTACTTCTGACTTTCTGGAAATCGAGATCCTCATCTCTCTCCCCACACCCTGTCTCCAGCGAAACTGTCCTTTAACATCTAATATTATCTGGACTAATCAAATAGTTTCTTCCTAATTCTTAAACTCCTTTTTAGCTGCAATGGAAAGTGTTACTGGTTTAATGAAATTAACTTTAGCTTCTGTGAACTACACTTTCCTGCTCTCCTTGCCTTTCTGAATATTCCTTTTCTTTGATCTTCCTTCTATTAATCTGGGTTAAGACTCAGTACTTTAACCATTAAGTCTCTTCAATAAGCCATATTTACTATGCTCAGGCTTCAGTAACTACCTATTATCTTTGCTGATTCCCATAATTAAACGAGAGGTAAAAGTAACAGCACTTTTATATAATTTAATAATTTACAAAAACTATAAAGGTTATCTCATTTTTAATCCTCATAGCAATAGCATTAAATACTTTATTATTTTCCTCTCAAAACCTCTTCTTCCTTCTAACCTCATTTATTCTATGGCAAATAAATTCTTACAGTCAAACTTGAAGCCTTGCAGATAACATGTCAGAGTAGAAAGAAAGCTAGCCTTGAAGGCTGCCAAAACTGAGCTCCCAGTATTGCCTTCAGTGTATCCTGGCTGTGTGACCCATGCCAGTCAAGATCAGTGATCTAGGAAACTCCTTCTGACTTGAAGTTGCTGAGAAAAGGCTGACTTACATTGATAGTTTCCTCATGAGAGTTCCCCTGCATCAATTAAATCACAGGTCAAGTATCTCTATTCCCTTACCTCACAATCTAATCAGTAGATAAATAATAGAGCCCCTCATTATTGTTCACCTGGACTACTTCAAAAGAATACTAATTAATTTCCCTCTTGTTTTTTCCCACTCTAATCCTTCCTACACACTGCTGCCAAATTAATATTCCTGGAACACCAATCTAAGCATGATACTCTTTAGCTCAAAAGTTTTCAATGGCTCCCTGTTACTTAGCAAATAAATCATAAACTTTTTTTCAGCTGGCTCAAAGAATACCAAAACTTCAAGGGACCATCATAATATCTAAAGGCCCTTCATGATTTTTCTCCAACTTCTTTGTCCAGCCTTATCACTCTTCCTTTTCATGGTACTTTACCACTCTAAACACTAGCCAAACTATAAACTATGTACTATTTCCTCAACATGTCCCATGTTATCTTGCCTGTTTGCCTCTGGTCATGCAGAGGCATGAAACTAAGAGAAACATGTAAATGAGAAGATCAAACAGGTATATGAGTCCAAGGAGAAAAAGGAATAGGATTTTGAAGGTCAAACAAGGGAAAGATAGTCTCCAGCCTTTCGGTTTTCCAACTTCTTTCTACAGACCTTTAAGGCCCCACTCAAATACCATCTCCTTCATAAATTTTTTCCTGGATTCCCAGCTGGAAAGATCTATCATTCTTGTGAATATAGGATTTGGTAACTCCCATTATGTTACTCCTGCATTACAGTTACATACATGTCTAAGCTCTAATGAGAACAGGGCTGATGTCATCATAATAAGGCATTATGTTAGTGCCTAGCATAGCATGTTTCAAAAAGGAAGTGCTCAGGAAATATTAGCTGTATGAAAAGGGACAATTCACAAATCAGAAAACCCACCATCTATATCTGGGCTTGGAATGAGAAAGACCTTGAGTTCAAATTTGGTCCCAGAAACTTACTAGTTATGGGATCCTGGGTAAGTCACTTAGCCTCTGTTTCAGTTTTCTTATCAGCAAAATAGGAATGAACACTTTCCTTCCACTGTTATTGTGAGAATCAAATGAGATAATATTTGTAACATGCTTGGTGAATCCTAAAGCCCTACATAAATGCTATTATTATTTTAACTCAAGGTTTACGTGTGTGTGTGTGTGTGTGTGTGTGTATATATGTATGTATGTATATGCAGTCCTCTTGCCTTTCCCCTTCTCTAACTTATGGCTAACTTCAAAAGAAGATACCACATATTTGGGTAAAACTTTAATTTTACAGGCCATAAATGTCAAAGGCCAATCAAAACTCTAAGTTGCCCATGGTTATTCACAGCCAAGTTCAAGTACAATGATAGACCTTCCCTTGTGACTTGTATTAATGTAAATTACTCTCTTTTTGACAGACACACGCACATGTAACTTCTTTCCTTTTGAAAAACATCCTTGGTGGTGGGCTCACAGTGATTTAATTGTCCTTATGCTCCTTAAAGCTGTGACATAAATCGTGGGTCGCCAGCTGGAGACAAAGAATGCTTCTGTATGGCTTGACATGGGAGATTGATGATGCTTGACTGGACAGGCAGAAGTGCATCCTTCTGGTAATAGGGAATGCCACTGCTCCCAATGGATATAAGAAATTGAAATCAGCAGCTTAGTAAACAAAATGATTCAAGAACCTTGGCAGCTTCTAAATTTGCACAATTAAAAACAGAAGAAAACAGCTAAATAATATTCAGTATATGATGCAACCAGCCTAGAAAAATAAAAGGGAAATATGTCTTTTTTTTTTTAACAAAAGATGTAATGAATCCGAAATATTTGTAAATTATAGCATGACTTTTAATTATGTAATAATCTATAATGTCTTAATGAAAAAGGAAACTGTTTTAATGCCTCTTAGGATAGCAAGGTGACCTTTAAGAAGAAAACCACAATTATCAATAAAAAAGACTTTAAAGCCTAACACCCAACAACTATGAGATGAATATATATCTTGATGTATGTGATCTATTGCACAGCTATAATTTTTTTTAAAGTATGGATAAAAGAAATGTAAAGTGAAACTTAAAGCAAAATTGCAAAGCAAATTTTGTATTCGCTAACTTGATGAAACAGAATTTTAAAGATAAATTATTCTGAATGTATCCTGATTTTTAAAAAATGATACTGAATATTAAAAAGTGGGTATCAGCATTGGTAAATGAAAGTTCTGATTGATAGGGGGTATAACAAACTAGGTTCAGAGTACTTAAAAGATTTTTTTTACATGGAAATATACACATTTGCCTTTTCTTACCCAAATGGATCGCCAACGACAAGGAAAGCAATATCAATTTCATTAGCATCCTTTAAAATTTGTTCTGCTTCTTGTTCCACTACCTGTCTGTCAGCAGTAATCAATGGTCTTCCATAAAACTGCTCCTAGAAATTTAAGTAAAATACTACCATGAGACAGAGCTAGTTACCATTTCAAACAACAACCCCCCCCATATTATCTTTTCCTTCCCCCCTCCACCTTTAAACACACCTATAGATGCTGATCTTTGTCTTCTGCTGATGGAAATCTTGGCAATCATCCAACATATATCCATGTATAAAACTACACAATGAGCTGGTGCTCTATATTATGTTGCAATTAAACTCTGTCTTTAGGCCCATCTTAATATCCCAAGGGGAAGCAGACCTTTTAACATCTGATGCTTTCTTTGCATTTTAAATTTACCCCTGAACATGCTCTATCTAGATGAAGAAGAACAAGGCAAGGCTAGCAGAAATAATCCTTACATGTGAGTTGTATTTTGTAACATGCTACTGAAGAATATTAGTACTATTCAAGAGTTGATACAAACATATTTTTAGCATTTTAGTTTTGTATGCCATGTCCTTCAACATCATCTCCAGGAGATTAGAAAGACCAAAGTTATCAACAAGCAACATAAAACCCATACTTAGTCCAAGCCTTTATAGTATACATTTGTAGGCCATTCCAGGAAAAGTATAATTTAAAGCAGTCTCCTGTAGTTTTGTCGCAAAAGAACACAAAGTTAGAACACATCAGAATTGAGAAAAAAATGGTGAAATTCAAATCTAGGGACTGATACGAGTAGTGCCTCGATAAATATCAAAATGGAAGAGCTTAATAAGCAAGTTAACCTATGGGGCGATGCTAATGAGCCAATTCTAGATATTCACACTAAAGTGTAACAGTATACATGTTCTTATTTTGTGAGATCATGAATTATGGCTTATTTCCTGTTCTTTCAATGTGGGATAATTGGTGATTCTGAGATAACAACAAAACTACTTTCCTGAGCTTAGGGGATTTTAACTACACCACCCAGTTTATCCTTACAACACCTGCTATTCAAACTGCAAGTCAAAGACATGTTTACTACAGTGTATACAAATCCAGGTCTCCTAATTCTAGGTGTAGTTCTACTTTCACTATTTCTGGATTTTACAGATAATGAAACTGAGGCCTAGATAGTTCAATTAATTTGCCATCAAATCAATAAAGAAGAATTTACTGAGAACCTATTAAGTGCTATGCACTATGCCCGTCCTGGGGTAAACAAAGACAAAATAAAAACACTGTCTTCAATTAGCTGATCTTTTAATAGAAAATATGCGTGTGTGTATAAAAGGTTCCAATTCACACTACATATCCCCAGATTAATACTTCTAATATCCCAGTAGGATCATGCCCCTTTATTGATTGTGCACTCCCTAACAATAAAAGTTCATACTCATTAGCCTGCCATTAAGAATACTCTACAATCTGGCTCCAATCTCCCTTACTGTTCAGTTTTTTCTTAACCTACTTCCCTCCTCAGTAACTGTTCTAGCCAAAGTTAATATTCACCTAACATCTTGTGTTTGCCACCTGACATTCCTCACTCCATTCCCTAAATCTAGAACACTATCTTCACCCTACCTATTCATTTCATTCACCAAATAAATATTAAGGGTTTATGTGCAAAGTTCTGTGTTAAGCACTAGAGGAGATCCAGAGTTTAGACAGGATATGGCTGTTGCTGTCCTCATGGGGATTACAGTCTAGTATATAACACACACAAAAAAATTATTATATAAAAATTGTATTAGTCACAAAATAAAGTGCTGAAGCCTAAGGGGAAAAGTTATTACTAACTGGGGGAGGTAAAGAAAAGATGGATTTGGATTCAAAAGATCTAGCTTCTGCTAGCTGTTATGTCTTTGGTTAAGTCACAAACTCTCTAAGACTTCAGTTTCTTATGTAAGATAAAGGGTTTAGCCTAGCTGACACCTACTACTTTCCATAGCTGGAAGCTGGAAACATCTAAATATATGATCCCAGGAGGTGGCATTTGAATGGACTTTATCAGATAATTATAATTATTAACTTAATAAAAGGGTGAAGGGGATATTCCAGGGATAAGAATCAGTACAATCAGGGGCATGGAGGCATGAGAGTTCAAGGAGCAGAGAGTAGTACAGTTTGGTTAGACTTTAAAGTGAATGTAAGTAAAATGCAGCTGAAAAGAAAGAGGGATGTCAGATCATTTCTATGCAGAAAAGTCTGGATTGTGTGCACTTAGCACCCTGGAGTCAAAGAAACCAACTTCAAAGGCCCTTTCTTTTGTTACATGCTACTACCTGTGTGGCCTCTGCCAACTCATCTGACCTGAGCCTGAGTTTCCATATCTGTAAAATGAGGTTAGATAGTCCCTTCCAGCTCTAAACCTAAATGTTAAAAAACAGAAAGCACTGAAGATTTTGAATAGCAGAATAATGTGATTAGATCTATGAAAATAATATTCTGGCAGTGGTATAAAGGATGAATTGGAAAGGATGAACAGGGACAGTCTGAGCTTTTGTATTTGTATTCCTAGTGCTCAGTACAATGTCTAGTATGTAGGAGGTACTTGATAAAACGTTCTTTGTACTCTAGTGGAACTGGGAAAATCTGAAAGTACATAATCGACTAGAGAGGTGGAAATAAGAGCCTGTACTAGGGTAATGTGAATAGTAAGAGAAGCCTTCCTGATTCCTCCAGTCACTCAAGCCTTCCTCTCTGAAGTTATCTCTTTGTTATTCAGTATCTATCATGTACCTATCCATTTAGAAATTGTCTCTTCCATTACTATGTATGCTCCTTTACAGCAGACCCTTTCTTTGTAGCCCCAGACTCAGCACATCCTAAGCGTTTAATAAATGCTTGTTGACTGACATGCTGGAAAGATGTTACAAAGGTAGAATTAACAGTACTTGGTAAATTGATTGGCTATGAGAGCTAAAAGAATGAAAAGAGTCAAAGACAATTCTAAAGATAAAAATAGAGTAAGCCATATGATGGTGGTACCACAGAAAGAAACAGGGAAATCAAAAAAGTTCTTTGCCTGGAACATTCTTTTTTAAATTTCCTCTTTGCTCCTATCTTTGTGTGCTTCATATTGACTTAAATAAGTGTATGTCCTATCCCTCCCTTTTCTAAATGGAACACAAGCTTCAAAAGGGCAGAGACTGTCTTTAAAAAAAAAAAAACTTTGTATATACAGTGTTTTATATATTATAGGTACATTAAAAAATGTTGTGCTGAAAAATAAGTTCAAATTTTTCACTGAGCTGCTGGTAGGGTATCCAAGTAGGGAGATATTATAGATCAGGGGTGGGGAATGTGGATTTGGAATTCCAAGAAAAGTAGCTAGGACTAAGGATTTGGGAGTCATCTTCACAGAGGCCAGCACCTGAAGTCATGGGAATGACTATGACTGCCAGGGAAGAAAGGACAGAGAGATGAAAAGAAAACTAAGAACAGATCCTCACATTATAGGGCTGAGAAAAGAGGCCATTAAAACAAAACCCAATGAAACAGGGATATATGAGAACAAGAAGAATATATGGTGTATATATTAAGTTAAAATAAAAAACAGTATCCAGTAGAAAAGACCATTTTATTAAGCACTTACTATATACCATACATTATGCTCAGCATTAGAAATAAAAATACAAGTAAATAAGACAATCTTTATCTTTAAGGAGTTTACATTATAAGAAAGGAGCAAGACAAGTTACAAAAATATGAACTAGTTGGGGGAGTGATCAATATCAATAAGGATGAGGACTGAAAAAATAAAAGCACCGGATTAGGTAATTATATGGTATTGGTAACCACAAAGATCAGATTTCATTTAATGGTGGTGATAAGGAAAAAGGCTGTAAAAAAGTAAAAGTATATGGTCTAGAACTTTTTGAAAACAATTTAGCACAGAAAGAGGAGAGAGTTGTGAAGCTAGGTGGATGAGATAAAATGGTAAAGAGGAAGGCTTTTTTTAGGATTGGGAAAATCTGGGACATGTTTGAAGGAGAAAAGGAATACCCACAGGTAAAAAGATATAAGGAACAGCAAGATCATGGAGGTAGGTCTGAGTAAGGTCCAAGGCATAGGTAGAAGGATTGGCTTTATTGAAGATTAAGATACTTCTTTTATAATTAGATGGGAGGAAAAGGAAACAATGAAAAGTGGAGGAAAGGAGAGAATTAAGGGAACTCAAATCAAAAAATATCAATTTTCTTGATATAGCTACTGGTCTGTAAGTGATGGGTATTGGTGCAGTTGGGAGCAAGAGACGAAAAGTTTTAGCAGCAAGGCCCAGATGAAGTTAAGTACTACTATGTCGTAGATGAAATAAGCTCAATACTGTGACTTTCTACAGCTATAAAGAAATCAGATTCACAAATTCAGAATGGCAAAAGATCAAGGTATCAAGGAAATCTAGGGTACTGGCTAGTGAAATAAACTAGCAGATCATCTCCATTAGCTGACATCCTATCTATCTTTTAAGACACAGCATAAATAACTCCATAAAGCCTTCCCTTATGTTTTCAGTTTAATAAGAACTCTTATCTGATTACCCAGTACCTCATACTTCTTGAATGTACTTACTATATTTTATTAAATATAAGCTTTTATTAAATTTATGTAAATGGTTTATCTCTTCTGGATTATAAATTTTCTTCATATCTATCCTCATACCCAGTATAGTATAGTGGCAGTGCTTTTAAAAATCTGTTCAACGATTTCTACTGGAGACAACACATATCAGCAGGTCAATGGCATTTGCCATAAAATGTTAAGTAAAGGTAAGCTGCCTCATTCAAAGTCATGACTATGTCTTTTCTAGATCTCATTCATCTTTTTCATAAAACCTCTCATAACCAAACTGAGAAAGTATGGTATAGAAGAAAGAACATATTCTGTGAATAAAGAGCCTTGGAATCTAGAGTTCTGGTTATGTCCCTATAAAGCTTAAGCAACCTCCCCTCCCCTCACCAGAGCCTTATTTTGCTCTGAAAAGAAGGCAGAACTGGATGATATCATCTCTAACATCCCTTCTCTTATGATATAAGAAAGCTGAACTTGGATTTAAGAGGCCTAAGATGAAAACCCAGATTCTAATAGATAACTGATGCATATTATGGGTCCATAAAATAATGACAATATTACCTCTCTCTCACAGGGCTGTTTGCAAAGAAAGTACTTTGTAAATCTTAAAAGCTTATATAGGCCAGAGGAATAATTTTACTTCTCTTTTCTGACCACCTATAACATTTGTTGATACTATTAATTTAGCAACTGTCACATATTATGTTTATATATATATATATATATATATATATATATATATATATAAAACATGTATAAATATATTGTGATACATTTATACATGTAATATAAACACGAAAAATAATGAAGAAAACAAAAGAGGTCAAGTAGCAAATACATAGTGTTAATATACTTACATATATGTATACACTATAATATACAGCATACATCTACATAGTATACATAGCTATATACTTCTTTATATCCCTTAAATGCAGGGATATATCTATATCTATATTTTATAGTGCCTTATTATTGACTGAGTTACTACACAAAATCAAAATCCATTAGTAAGCTACATAAGATAATTCAAATCATCTAACCCCAGAAGCTAGTAATGAAATGACAAGTCACAAAGGTATTAAATAACAGAACCAGTACTTGAACCCAAATCTTCTATCTCCATATACATTTCTCTTTATACTATATTAGGCTGCTCTGGCAGTTCTCTTGTTTAAGAAGTCCTCCTTCCTCCCTTTAAAAAAATGAAACAACATTAACCTATCTCCAACCCTTAACCAGCTCCTCAAGATTTCCCCCCCAAACATCACTGATTATGTCTCAGCAATCACATATGCCATTTCAGTATCCTGGTGTATATAGTTTGTGTGGACCTGTACCTAAGTGCTATCTCTTACTATCTTTAAATCTCTCTCAATTTTTTGTTTTATACTTACCAGTCTATAAATAATCAGCAATTCAACCATTAATTTGAAGAAACTATTGATTTACTAATTTTTGGCTCAGTTCTCTTAGCTAGCTTTTTCAATCACTGATGGTTCACTAGCTCTCCTTGGTCCACACCAACTGACAGATATTCCTTACAATATTTTCCCTACTGTTTTGACATTTTGTCATCACCCATTTTTCTCTAAGACTTGGTCTTAGTGAAGCAAGAAAAAGCATGAAACGTCTTGACCTAAGATGTCAAATTCCAGAAATAGCCCTTAGCATCTACTGTGGTCCTAAAGTAATTCTGGGGCTTTCTGAACCTTCAGCACATCTAGACCTCACAGGGTTGAAAGACACCAATCTCAAAGTGGGTATAGAAGTAGAAGACCAACTCTCTTGATAGCTTCCCCCCACCATGATGTAGTGACTGTTAGTACAAATTGTTATTTATAGCTTTAAAGTTTGCAACGTATATTTCATATATTATTTCATTTGAACCTTATAATAGGCTTGTAAAAGATAGATACTTCAGTTATTACCTCCATTTTAGATAAAGCATTTATATTAAGCACTTATTATGTGCCACTTATTACACTAAGTACCCAAGGTGGTCTCTACTACTCAGACAGTATCTAAAAGACAGCTTGGGGGGGGGTGAGATTGAAGGAGTAGGATATAAGGGTCAAGGCAGCTAAAAGGATGCCAAGAGTGAAGTGAACATGATTTGGGGTCCCCATGAAATACTCTTGTGAGCTAAGGATTCAACATATCACAAGAGTGGGTCTCAAGGCAGAGGTACCTCCAATGTGGGATGGCTGCTGGCCTAGGAATGGACAAGATGGGGAAACTGAGTATCACATTTGTGGTCTCATAGCTACTAAGTGTCTGAGATGGAATATAATCTCAGGTCTTCTTGACTCCAAGTCCAGCTCGATGTCCCCAACATCCACTAGGCCCATTAGCTCTCTTACTCAAATACTATTTCTGGCCTTCTCTAGTTAAATGAGTTTGACAGTGAACCAACCATACTTCCAAAGTAGCTGAAAATTTAATAGCTTGCAAAATACACTGCAACATAACCTATGGAAATTTATTCCTGTGCCAACTAACTGCACAAATGTGGCTTGGGTCTAAACTCTAGAGGGATATATGGGCTTAAATAGGTAAGATCTGTCTGGATATGACACAGACAGAAAAGAGATTAGTATACCCAAGGATTACTTCAAAGGGGTAAATGTTATTGCTTGCTATTTGAATATGTAACCCCCTGATTAAGCCTGTGTTAGCTCCTCATTAGCACGCAGCTCAGATTCTTAAGCCAGTATCTTAAAACAAAAGATAGTCCCAGGACACAGAATAACTTTCCTTTCTTTCTTTCTTTTTTTTTTTAAACTGAAGACTCTCAGAATTGGGTCGGTATAGCAGGACAAAGCACCTTTTCATTTTGTGGGTCACAGGGTTGTGTGACTTGGGACTGAAACCCAAACCCCTACACGACTTCTATTCTTATACTATTCATATGCAGGGTGTATTTTACAGAGCCTATGTGGCAAAGATTAAAATTTTGTTCAATTTAACTTAGTGATGAGCAGATGGACTACAGCCTTCTTCCCACAGAAAGGTGGGTGGAGAAGAAAACTGTATGAACCTACCAGCCTTTCCTTCTCTACAGCCAGGATTGAGGTGTAAGATTCCAGGTACACTCGGTTACATTTCTTTACAATTTCCAGTCCTTTCACAGTGATGTCCTCGGCATCTCCCAGGCCCAGACCAATCAGGTAAAGCATTTTCAACAACAAAGGGGGAAGAGGCTATGAAGCTGATGATGAAGCGCCTCTCCTGGATCTCAAAAATCTGTCTGTGAAAAAAAAAAATCACAACAGTTGCCAATGTGACTCGGCTGCATGGCTAACAATACCGCATTCAAAGAGAGGCCCTGGGTTTGAATGCCGACATCGCCGCAGAGTGGGGGTGTAACATTGGACAAAGGCTTACATAATCTCCTCGGGCCTTGATTAACTGGAACAGGAGGCCCAGCTCCTCTGTAAAACCACAGGAGCTGGACTCGACGACCCGCAAGGGTCCCTTTCTCTCTAAGGGTCCGATCCCAGAACTAGACGCGCCCAGGCCCAAAGCCGCCGGTTTCTTGGGGCGAGACCCGCATTTTAATCCACGGACGCGTCGTCCATTTAACAGACTCCTATTCATTCTCCAACCTCCTCCCCCCGCTATCTTAAGTGCTAGCCCTGTGGCCCCTCACCCCTAGCACTTAGGAGAAGTAAACAGAGACGCACAGATATTGGGGTGGGGGGAGGCAGAGCGGCGAAACCAGGGCTCGAACTCCAGGCCTCCGACCCCGGATCCCTCTCTCTCCCCTCCCCCGCCCCGCCTCGCCCCGCCCCCCGCTTCTCTGGCCAGCGCCCTGGCGCTCTCTCCCTCCCACTTCGCCCGGGAAGAGGAGTGAGTTACCCGCTGAAGGCTCCGCAAGGACCGGGCCTCGGGAACCGCGACTACTTGTAGGAAAAGGCTTAGGAAACAACCCCACCCCCACACCGCCCAGCTCTGATTTACGGCGCCGCAAAGCGACAGGCATTTTGCGGTGCTTTTACGTCTCTAACGGGGCGGGGGGGGGAGGAGAGGATGGGGAGGAGGTGGGAAGGAGCCATGAATGAAGGCGGGACTGGGCGGGAAAGGGGAGGGCAGAGGTCAAGTCTTGTGTCCTTTCTGAAGTGCTCCCTCTACTTTTTCCCCCCTCCCCATCCACTGCCAGGTCCTCCCTCAGTCCCGTGGGCTAAAGGCTTAAAAGCGCCTGAAGCCGAAGCGGCCCGCGTGCCCTGGGGGCGGGGCCCAGCACCTCCCCGGGCCTCTCTCCCACGTGGGCGGGCCGTCGGGTGTGTTCTCCCGGGCGCGCGGGGGTCAGCCCCGGAGCTTCCCTCGGTCTCGGCGGTGTCGGGGCCCTCTTTTCGGATTCCGGAGGCGGTGGGGTCCCTCCGTTGCCCCTCAGGACTTCGACGACTCGGTTTCGTTCACGGGGCAGAAAGGGGAGTGTCCCGCTCCAGTCGTCCCTCTATTTCAGGACGTCCCCGCCCCCTCCTGGCTTAGGGGAGCTACCTAGTATTTCCCCTCGACTCACCGGCTCAGGGATTCCCCACTTAGGTGGAAAATCCTTTATAGAGTGAGTAGATGTTCTCTGATGTCAAAGAGAATTTACTTTTAGCCCAAGAAAATTCCCTTTATTCAAACTGCAACTAACTAGGCAATTGGGTATTTATATCCTTTCTTACAGTTCTGACTTTCATGTACTTCATAAGGTCATAGGTTGTGGTATCCTACCCTAGAATGCAGGGGCTGGGGTACTGATCATTAATCAGCTTCTGTTTCAAGAGGATATATTTTATAAAATAGCATTGTAGTTAAGTGGTATGCCGGCGCACAAACTTAACTGATCACTTTTTATGGTTTCAGCTTTTTGCTTTTTCTTTTTCCCTGGTTTGGCTAACTTGATGGAGAATCTCTGGGTAAGAGAAATTTCTTAAAAAAAAAAAAGTAATGCACAACCACCCTAACAGATGAATATGCTATATTTTGTGCTAGAGAAAGTACAGGAGCTGGCTTAAAAGGTTATTTTATATAGACGAGGGGATTGATTTTTAAATATACACCATTTCTGTCTTTGTTTAGAGAAGGAAAATTGTTTTTTCACTCTTTTCAAAATGAGTACTTTCCCCCACTGTCTTTTTTTTATTTATTTAGACAGAGCAGTAAAAATTTATTTGTTGTCCTTCAGTTGTTCCAGACTCTTTGTGACTCCATTTGGAGTTTTCTTGGCAAAGATACTGAGTGGTTTGCCATTTTACATATTACTGTAGTTCATTTTACAGATGAGGAAACTGAGGCAAACAGGGTTATGTGACTTGCTGAGGGTCACACAGGTAGTAAGTGTGTGAGGCTAGATTTGAACTCAGGAAGTTGAGTCTTTCTGACTTCAGGCCAGGCACTGTATCCACTTTGCCACCTAGCTGCCCTCAGCCCCCACCCATGTCCTTTTTTAAAATAAAGATTTCTATCTTCCTTAATTTCCCTTCAGACACAGTGGGGAAAGGTAGATAAGAGAAAAGGGACTGGGAGAGCCTATAGATTTGATTTTTTCACCTCAATTTTAGCAAAAGTTATCATAAGCTGGCAAATATTTTGTCTAGTATTTATTTGCAGATCTATGCTATTAGATGTGGACATTTTTTCCTTAATACTTTAAAAATCATTTCAAACTCTGCATCTTAGTTTCCCTCTCAGTAAAATGAGGTCATTAGACTCTTGACCTTTAAGTTTCCTCATAGCTCTAAATTTTTAATCCTATTATCCCTTGATGATTGCATTTTGTAGTTATGCCACTCCCCCTAATCTTACGTATATGTAGATGAGTAAACAAAGTAATCACTTGCCTGCACTAAGGTCCTACAGGCTTTCATTCTGGCATGAAGATAACTACATCCTGGGTTCTCTAAGATTACACAAGTGGAATGCAAAATTTTCCTTCTGCCTTCCTACTAAGGAGAAGGTCATTAGTGTGGGGGGAAAAACAGAATAAACATAGCTACTAAGGAGTTCAATCAATTAATCAATATTTATTAAGAGCCTACTATGCTGAAGATATACAAGAAGCAAAAGACTGTACCTGCCCTCAAGAAGCTTACAAGCTAATAAATGAGTTGATACTTAAGTAAGGTGAGAGAATCTAGCTGCCAGTGATGGCTCATCACTAGAAAAAACTTTCAGATGTGATTCCTGATCAGTCAGTGATCTTTGAAAAATTGTTGAATATGGGATAGATACAGCTGGATTGGAGAAAGACAAATATCCTGACTCGAAAAAGGGAAGAGAAGAATCACCAAACTAGAGACCAGTGAACTTGACATCTTTCCTAGCAAAATTCTAGATGTGATTAAAAGGATGTTCTTTAAACAACTTTAAACAGTAATCATAAAGACCAAGCATGATTTCATCAAGAACAGGTCCCATCTAACCCTCTTTTATTTTTTAACAAAGTTGCTAGACTGGTAGATTAGGGAAATGCTGTAATTTACTTGGCATTAGCAAAACCTTCAATAGTTATCTTTTGCTACTCTTATGGACAAGATAGAGAATATTGGCTAGATGGTAATAGCTTTGAAACTTATTAAATAGTTTGCTCAAAAGTTGTAATTAATTTTTTTTTATGTCAGCCTGAAAGAGGTCTCTAGTAGAGTATACAAAGGATCTGTGCCTGAGCCAATGGAGCAAATGGAATAAAGTGAAACTATTGGGATGTAAAGTCTTAAACTTTGGTTAAAAAATTAATTTTATATGTACCATATTAGGGAGGTATGGAAAGACAGACAGAAAATTGATACAAAGATTGGTAGGAAAAAATTGTTTCCAGTTTGCCTGAAAACAATTTGGGGCATTTATTCAGTCATTCAGCAAGTTATTTAAGTGTTTTCTATGTTCCAGGCCCTAAAATTACTAGGGATACAAAGAAAGGCAAAAAAAGGTCCTGCTTTTGGGGAACTTAGGGGGACAGCACATGAATAACTAGGTATATACAAGATATATACAAAATACATGGAAGGCAATCTCAGAAAGGAGGGCAGTAGCAGCCTCAGGGGACTAGGAAAGGCTTCTTGCAGAAGGTGGAATTTAAGTTGAATCTTAAAGGAAGCCAGGGAAACAGAGAGGCAGAGATAATAGGGCAAAGGATTCAAGGCTTGGGGGAAAGTACCCATAACATGGACCAGAAATGGAGTGTCATGTTTAAGGAGCAGCAAGTGGGCCAGCCAGCATGGCCTGATTGTAGTGTGTTTGGAGGAGAGTAAAATATAAGAAGGCTGGAAAGGTAGGAAGGAGCCAGATTATGAAGAGCTTTAAATGCCAAACAAAGGCATTCATATATGATCCTAGAGTAGGGTGTCATTGTAGCTCATTGAGCTGGGCAGTGAAATGGTCAGACTTAAACTTTAGAAATGTCACTTTGCAGCTGAATGGAAAATGAATTGGAGTGGGGAGAGATTTGAGGCACAAAGCCAATTAGAAGTAGTCCAGATGAGAAGTGAAGAAGACCTGAACTAGGGAGTTGTAGAGAAGGCAGTATGTATGAAAGATGATGTAAAGGGAACAAGATTTGGTGACAAATTGTATATGTGGGCTGACAGAGTAAGGAGTCCTTCAAGTACAGTGATGTTTCAGGGAATGGAGAGTTTGCTGTTGCTTTTTGTAGTCATGCTACAGTAATAGGGGAAGTTAAGAAGAGAGAATTTGAAAGAAACATGATGAATTCTTTTTTGGAGTTCAATTTGAGATGTCTATGGACATCCACTATGAGATGCCCAAAAGGCAGTTGATAATGAAAGACTATGTAGCTCAGGAGACAGACTCTTGTTTGTTGTTATTCAGTCATATCTAACTCTTCATTTGGGGTTTTTCTAGCAAAGATACTAGAATAATTTGCCATTTCCTTCTCCAGCTCTCTTAATGTGAGGAAAGTGAGGCAAACATAGTTAAGTGACTTTCCCAGGGTCACACAGCTAGTAAGTTTCTGAGGCCAGATTTCAACTCCCAAAGGTGATAAACTTGGAAAGTGTGAACTTCAAAGGAGGAGCATTTGCTCAGTGAAGGTGGAAGAGGAAGATCCTGCAAGTGGCAATGGGTAGTGAGAAGTATTCTGACTCCCTTACCAAGCCTAGTTGGGGATAGTTGTGGTGGTGGAAGAGAGTATGAGAAAATATATAGCCATTACTGGAAAGGATGTCCAAAGAAAGTTCAATATGAGTTGTTGATGTGATTCAGGAGCCGAAACAGCTAATGTTAAGCCACATTAAGAGAGATACAATGTATAAGAATATGGAGATGATAGTCCTGCCAGACTCTGCCCTAGGCAGAGAGAAGTGTTCAATTTTGGTCACTACAGTTTTTAGGAAGCACATAATCTAGAGAGTGTCCAAAGAAGAGCAACAATCATAAGATTTGGAGACTTGTTTTAGGAACTGGGAATGTAAAAACCTTAGAAAGAAAAGACTTTTTAGAGGATGGCATCAAATATTTGAATGTCTTATCATATGGGAGAGAGATTGGGCTTGCTCTGATTGGCCCTAGAAGATAGAAGTAGGAGCAGTAGGTGGAAGGTGCAAAGAGGAAATTTTAGAATTTATATCAGGAAAACTTCCCAAACGCGTTATTACAAAAATGGAAAAGGATGTCGTGAAAGCTCGTGAGTCCCCCCTTATAGGAAGTCTTCAAGCAAAGGTTGGAGAAGCACTTGTCAGGCATGTTGTGGAGGAAATTCTTTTTCAGCTACAGTCAGATTAGATGAGTACTGTGATTAATTCCTTCCAGTTCTTGGGATTTGGGGATAACACATTAGACCCATACTTATATACCAACTTATAATATTGCAGAGCTTTGATGTATTGTTGAAGGCAACATGGTACAATGGAAAGAGCAATGAACTTGTAGTCATGGAATTGAGTTCAAATATTGGTTCCTCTGCTGTGTGACCTTGGGCAGTTACAAAGCTAACGTGGACTTTAAGGTTTGCAAAGAACTTTGCATAGGTTATTTCATTTGATTATCACAATGACTCTGTGAGGTAGGTGCTATTATCATCTTATAAGTAGGGTTGAGGGAGAACTGTGTATCCACTGACACACAGCTAGTAATTTTCGGTTGTGGGATTCAAGCCCAGGTCTTCTTGACTCCAAGTCCAGCATTTTATCCTTCATACCACACTGCCTCCTTTGGACCTCAGTTTCCTAATCTGTAAACTGAGGAGACTGTTTATGTTTTATGTTTTAAATGTTATGTTTATGATTTAAAAAAATTAATGACATAGAAATTTAAGGTGCCTTTTAGCTCTGTATAGGATATAATCTAATTTAGATTGGGTTTTGAGAATTTTGTTTTTAAATGATTCAAAAGGGAACTTTAAACAAATATCATAATAATGATCATATAATTTATTTGCCACAATGGTTATAACATGGAAAATTGAAATATTGTACAAAGTAGAACCATAGAAATGGTTGCATCAATAAAATCTATTACCTGGCTTAGGTAAGTTTAACAGAAAAAGCCATTAACCAATAGAATTACAAAAGGAATGAGCTTCAAGAGTCATCTACTGTCCTTTTTGATTTCAGGTCAATCAGTCAATAATAAAACATTTATTAAGCACCTGTTGTGTCCCAGGCACTGTGCTTCATGATGGGAAAAGTATAAAGAATGAAACAATCTCTACTAGCAAAGAGCTTACATTGTAATGGGAAGACAAGAAGCAGAAATATTTCAAAGCACTCTAGACTTGGAAGTATTGATGCTTTTTTAAAGGATACTTTTATAGATTTTGTCAGTAACTTATTTTAATGTTTAATATCTATACTATTGAAAATTTCTTCCTCTGATCTGATCCCTTATAATCATATGCAAGAAGATATGCAGATAGTTGTGAGATGTTAATGTTGATTGAAGTGAATTTGATGGCTTTTCCTCCATTTCAGCCACACAAAATTGTCATAATGCATTATAAAAGGCAATAGCACAGATGAGATGCATTATTATATTATCAGAGAGTTGTAATTACCTTCCATTCTAGAGAAAGTCATCCTTCAATACCTCTATCTGAGATTATTGTTAAAAAATTGTTATTATTAAAAAGATGTCACTGTGTTCATCTAAACTCTCTTTGACCTACATGTGAATAGACAATATAATTTTCATATGTAGCCGGCCCCTTAACCTTCATATTCATAGTGAATGCTTTTGTTAGGAGAAATCTATTAACATTCATAGAGATTGGAGTTCTCGCATTGATATTCAGTACAATTTCATCAAGAAGTCATAAGTAAAGCATGATGTTGCTTTAGGAAAAACCACTCATTTTTCAAAAATTTAGAGGAATGTTGAAATTGCTATACCATACATTGGTTAAAGAAAAGCTTAATTTACATTAAAAGCTAGTGTTCTCATCTCATCAAATATTAATTATGTAAAAATGTGAAATGCATATGGACAAAATAAGGAATAGTATGGTCATTTGGTGTCAAAAATAAAAGCTCTACCTTAAAGGCTGAAATGATTAACACAATGAATTAATACAATCATTACATTAACATTAACATAATTATAGAGTTGTATGAAATTCCAAACATTATTATTCCTTTAGCTAAGTTTAGGGACAGGGACTCTATTTTCTAATTCTTTTATATCTTCTTGTGTTATATAGTGTAATGTTCTCCACATAGTGGACAATGAGGAAATGCTGACTGGTTGGTAAGTGTTAAAATCTAAATACAAAAATTGGCCTATTTCCAAGTGAACTTCTTCTATCTGTAGTTTGGCAATCAAGATTGACTAACTACAGAGAAAAAGTTTATTTGGGGCTTAAGCATTTAATGATAAAGTCTTATTGAACACAGGAAGAGTTATGATAATATTATGTCACTTTTTATTCAGTTGAAATAATTTTGAATCAGTTTCTATGTCATTAATTTTTTTAAAAAGTAGTTTTCTTTTTGAATTCAGTAAAAATACTTTTGTCTGTGCCACTTAAATATTATTTAAGTCTTAAGACAAGTTTTTCTCTTCACTTTATAAGTTCCATTTGCCTATATATGTGTGTGCATGTGTATGCATATATATGTATATTTGTGTTATGTATATATACATATATGTATATGTATGTATGTATACATACATATATTTTCCAAGAACAGATAATCTGAATATAAATGTGCCAGTAAATTTACACATACATACAAGATATGTCAATTGTGCCCTGCCAAGTCTCAGCCTTGGATCACTCTCACCAGTCATCACTCATTCCTACACTTATGTGCTGCTGAAAAAAACTTTCTCCCTTCCTAACTACAGGGATTGCAAATACAAACAGATCTTGAAGCAGGTGGTTTTAGATAGAAAAAAAAATGCCACATATATCATTTGAAGGAATAGCTGAGAATCAGTCGGTACTCATTTGATCCTTACAACAACCCTGGGAGGTAAAGGCTATTATTTTCCCCATTTTACAGTTGAGGAGACTTAGGCAGACAAAGGTTAAATGATTTGTCCAGGGACATACATCTGGTAAGTGTCTGAGGACTGATTTGAATTCACGTCTTCCTAATTTCAGGCCCAGCATTCTATCCTCTGTGCCACCTAGTTACCTCTAATTTTTTATATATACATATATATATAGTGATCTCTCTTATAATGAATGGTCTTTTTGACTTAACTGAGAAAACTGAGGACATCTGTCTTATACTCTCCCATATTCTTTGCTCTCCATACCTCAAAACTTCTCTATGTCTTCACCCATCTTTTCTTTGTAAAGATTAAACCTTCACTTGGATTCTTGATTCCATTCTTGTTTGATCTGGAAGCATGCCTAATTAATCAGTCCCTCTGTCTTACTCATCATTATTTTCCCCCCATCTACAGAATACAAACATGCTGTGGTCTTCCATCCTTCAAAACAAAACAACAACAAAACTCTCCACTTAACGCTTCCAGCTCATCAATAGGATCCTACAACCCTCTTCTCATTTACTGCCAAACTAGTAGCAAAAGTTATTTACTCACTACTTATAATCCCTTGCTCTCTGGATCATGACTCTGCCAATCTATGGAAACAACTTTCTCAAAAGCTACCGATCATCTCTTAACTGGTAGACCTCATGGCCTTTTCTCAGTTCTTTATTGACTTCTGCAGATTTTTCCACAGTTGAATTTTGGAGATGGGAAGAGAAACCAGTGGCCAACTAATCCAGCGGTGTACTGGTAAATGTTTAATAAATGGTTCTCCAGGGGAAAAAATGTATCCACAATATATTTTTAAGTTTAATATGCATTATTAAAATTTTCTCCATCACTTTATTAAATTTAGACAATCAACAAAACAATAAATCAAGCCCTAATTTGTAGCATTTGCCAATTTCTGAAGTGTAAATGCATACATAGTCAGCTCTCACAAGCAGTTTGAATTGGCTTCAATACTCCCCTGCATAACCCAAATGAAATGGTTCACAATGGTATCCAACAAGAGGTAATCCAGCCTCTCCTTGAATATCTCCAATGAAGGGGAGACTACTACTTCCTAAGGCATCCCATTCCACAGTTCTGATCGTCAGAAATTTTTCCTGACATCAAGCCTAAATTTATTGCTTTGCAATTTTTACCCATTACTTCTGTCCTCATTCTTTGGACTTCATCACCATGACTCAGTTATCTTCTTCCCCTGCCCCAGCAGCCCTTTTCTCCTATTGAGTTCCTCTCAGACCAGCCATCTTTCATTCTCTGGCCTCTACCACCGAATGGTTACCTCCCTTTCTGCCTCTTTATTTTTTATTTCCCTTTTATGTGTTACTTTCCCACATTAGAATATGAGACCCTTGAAATTTTGGGAGTGACTGTCCTTCTTTTTTCTTGTATTGTATCCCCAGTGCTTAGCGCAGTGCCTGGCACATAGCATATAGATACTTAATAAATGCCCTTTGACTTGACTTGCCTTTTGAGGTCAAATGGAACATATTTGTTCCATATGAACGTCCTTCAAACCCTTGAATATATCTGTCATACATCCACTGAGTCTTTTCTTCTCCAGATTAAACTTTCTTCCTCAGATGACATGAACTCAAGGCCTTTCACCACCCTGGTTGTCTTCCTCTGACATCCTTCTGAAACTATTGCACTCAGAATTCAATTTCATATTACATCTATGTCCAAGACAAATTAAACCTACCATGTCTTAATGACTAGAGCTATGCTTCTGGCTGCCATGCTAATGACTAATGTTGAACTTACAATCCATTATAACTCTAATAACTTTTCCCTGACAAACTGATGTTTAACAATCAAACAACAAACATTTATTAAGCACCTACTATGGACCAGGGTCTATGCTAGGTTCTAGGGATCTAAAGGCTAAAATGAAACAGTCTCATTTGTCATGGAGTTTACATTTTAAAAAGGGTGACAACATACACATATATATATAGCAAGCCCATACTAAGTAAATACATGATAACTTTGGGAGGAGGGGTCACTAAAAACTGGAGGGAAGAGGAAATGAGGAATGCCCTTATCCAGAAGACAGTATTTGAGCTGAATCTTAAAGGAAACCAGGGATTCCCAGAGACAGAGATTAAGGGGGAGGGCAGGCTTTTCAGGCCTAGAGAGCAGCCAGTGCTAAGGTTTCCCATATGAATTTGATTTTTTTTTTAGCCAAAGTGTAAGACTTTATCCCTACTGAATTTCATTTTATTAGATTCATTCCACTCTACTATCAGGTTAAAAATTTTTTTGTATCCTGGCTGTCATTTATTCTGTTAGCTGTCACCTCCTGGATACTCTCTTTGACCTCTGTGTCTTTCCTGGTTTTTCTCCTGCTTGTCTAATGTTTCTTCAGTTTTCTTTGTTGGGTCATATCCAACTCCCTAAGGAAAGGTGTGATCCAAGGTTCTGTCTTTGGCTTTCTCACTATACCCTGATGAGCTCATCAGCTCCTATGGATTCAATAATTATATCTGTGCAGATGACTTCCAAATCTATATACCTAGCCCTAAATTCTTTCTTGAATTTCATTTCCACCTCTTCAGCTGTATTCTGGATATTTCTATTGTATGTTCCATTGGCATCTAAGCTCAACATGCCCCAAACAACTCAGCCAAATATCAGAAATGCATCTGGTTGCATTTTTAAAAATCTTATTCCCCAATTATGAAATTTTTTTTTTGTTTTTGTTCTTGTGTGTGTGTGTGTGTGTGTGTGTGTGTGTGTGTGTGTGTGTGTGTGTGAAATTCAGCTAGTAAATTTCTATCTTCCCTGATGCCAATCAGTTCTTCTTGCAAACTGATTGGGAGATGTTGCTTTCTATATACATATACATATATATATAAACACACACACACACACACACATACATATACATATGTATGTATATATACACACACACATACGTACATGTGTGTATATATATACATGTATGTGTATATCTATCTATCTATCTATATCAACCTGGTTCAAAATCTACTGTAACCCTTCATTTGGTAATTTCAAAAACAGATTATTAAATTCTGTTGAAGTCTTTATATCCACTTAACAGGGCATAGGGAAATATAAATATATTGCAGTATGCTGAAAGAGAAAAAGGTGGTGAAGGAACTCCTACTTTTCTTTCCTCAATATTCCTGATGCTATATATACATATATGTGTGTGTGTGTGTGTGTGTGTGTGTGTATGTATGTGAGTATGTATGTATATGCATATATGAGACCTAGTGAGGGTACCAGGGTTATTTTAAATATTAGTAAAGCTTAATGTCCTTTTTAATTGAAAAGAATAGAAATGGAAGTTCTAGTATTTTCTTCTTAATCCAGTGGATTATCCTGCATACCATTGGTTCATACTGCTATACATTTGGATCGACAACCCATCCATTTTTTCTTCAGTACACGTACCTTGGAAAGACAGTACAGATGGAGAGTAAACTGGGCCCAGAACTGAGCAAGATTCAAAGAAACAACTGTATTGCCTTTGGGAAATTGTTCAAAATCATATCCCATTTCTTCAGTAATTGGGTATGCTCAGTTTCTCTGTGACTAAATGCTGAAATTTCCCAGCATAAGAACACAGGATTCAGAATTAGAGGAATTTTATTCTAATACTAGTTTTGTTTACTACCCATGTGAGCTTAGGTAAGTCACTTATGTTGAGCTTCAATTTTCCTATCTGTAAAAGGGAATAATAATAGTTTTATTGTCTAACTCATCAGATTGTTGTGAGGAATGAACTTTGTAAATTAAAGCCCTATATAAATGTGAGGTATTGTTATCATTCTTCTCTGTGAGTGATTTTTACTGTTGTCCTCCTAATCCTAGTAAATATAGTATTCCCTGTTATCTAGTGTCCCCAAGGGACTGAATTCTCTCCTAGTATTCCATCCTCACTGGAGACTGGATTTTTTTCTGGTGTATCAGAAACTGTTTCCTGCCCTTGGAATTGTGCCCTCCCCCTTTTCCTGAAAACTGGGTCCTTGAAGTTTGTTGCTATCAAGGTTGTTGATATGTGACAATGATATTAACTCCACCAATCATCTGTCCAGCTGGTTGAATAGATATCATGGATTTTAGAATCAATTTGAATCTTTTGCTAATAGGAGTTAAGGCCTCTTTATTCTTTCTCCTCCAGTGACTTATCTCTCTGGTTTCTGGGAGATGACAATTATAGTTAAAAAAAAAAAAGGTAGGCTCAGAGAAAAGAGAGACTTGGGCTT